CCAGCCTTCTGGTTAGCAGTCAAGTGCCTTAGCCACTATGCTACCAGAGCTCCTATATGGGTCTTTAGTCTGTAATTTTTATGGCCAAAGGAGCTGTGGTGGGGAAGTAGATAAGACATTTGGCTGCAGAAGGTCAGTGGTTGAGATACACCACCTACTCTGTGAAAGGAAGATGAGGCAATCTACTTCCATAAAGATTTATAGCCTTGGAAACCCAATGGGGGTCACTGTGAATCAGAATTGATTTGATGGCAGTGAGTTTGGTTTGGCTTAATCTTTCTGGCCATGACTTGAATGTCAGTTTTCATACACTGTTCGCCTGCGTGTTGCTGTGATGCTGGAAGCTATGCCACCAGTATTTCAAATACCAGCAGAGGTCGCCCATGTTGGACAGGTTTCAGCAGGCCTTTCAGACTAAGATAGACTAAGAAAAAGGACCTGGTGATCTACTTGTAAAAAATAAGCCAGTGAAAACCTTATGAATAGCAGCAGAACACTGATAGAGTACTGGAAGATGAGTCCCTCAGGTTAGAAAGCATGTAAAACACAACTGGGGAAGAGCTGCCTCCTCAAAGTAGAGACATCTTTAATGATGTGGATGGATTACAGCTTTCAAGATCTTCATTTGCTGAAGTAGCGTGACTCAAAATAAGAAACAGTTGCAAAAATCCATTAATAATTGGAATGTGCAATTATGAAGTATGAATCTAGGAAAAATTAGTAGTTGTCCAAATGAAATGGAATGAGTGAAGATTAATATTCTAGGCATTAGTGAGCTGAAATGGACTGGTATTGGCCATTTTGAATCAGAATATCATATGGCCTACTATGTTTGGAATTACAAATTGGAAAGGAATGGCATCAAATTCATTGTAAAAAAAAAAAAAAAAAAAAAAAGACCTATCTTGAAGTACAAAATTGTCAGTGATAGCATAATATCCATATGTGTATAAAGAAGACAAGTTAATGCAACTATTTCTCAAATTTACATACCAACCAATAATGCCAAAGATGAATAAATTGATGGTATTTATCAACTTCCAGTCTGAAATTGATCATATTTGCTATCAAGATATATTGCTAATTACTAGTGATTCGAAAGAGAAAGTTGGGAACAAAGAAAAAGGATTAGTTGTTGGGAAACAAAGCATTTGTGATAGAAACGATGCTGCAGATTGCATGCCAGAATTTTGAAAGACCAAGGACCTATAAATTGGAAATACCTTTTTCCACATAAATGATGACTGTACATGTTGATGTCACCAGATGGAATACACAAGAATCCAATTGATTATCTGTGGAAAGAGATGATGGAGAAGCTCAATATCATCAATCAGAATAATGCCAGAGACCAACTACAGAACAGATCATCAATTAGTCATATGCAAGTTCAATTTGAAGCTGAAGGAAATTAAATATCTCCACTAGAGCCTAAGTATGACCTTGAGTATATCCCATCTGAATCTAGAGACCATTTCAAAAATACATTTGATGCATTAAATACTGATGACCAAAAATCAGAGGAGTTTTGGGTGACATCAAGGACATTGTACTTGAAGAAAGGAAAAGGTCATTAAAAAAATGGGAAAGGAAGAATACCAAAATGGATGTCAGAAGAGACTCTGAAACTGGGCAACTAAAGTGAATGGAAGAAGTGACACAGCAAAAGAGCTGAACAGATTTCAAAGGGTGTCTTGAAAAGACAAAGTGAACTTATAATGAAATATGAAAAGGCCTGGAGTTAGAAACTCAAAAGGGAAGAGCATTTCCCAAGCTGAAAGAGCTAAAGAAAAAATTTAAGCCTATAGTTGCAATGTTGAAGAATTATTTGGGAAAATTGAATGACACAGGAAGTATAAAAAGAAGATGGAAGAAATCCATAGAGTCATTGTACCAAAAAATAACTGGTTGATGTTAAACTATTTCAGGAGGTAACATGTGATCAGGAACTGAGGGTATTGAAGGAAGAAGTCCAAGCTCCATTGAAGACATTGGCAAAAAAAAAAAAAAAAACAAGTCTCCAGGAGTAGAACGAATACCATTTGAGATGTGTCAATAAATGGATGCAATGCTGGAAGTAATCATTTCTGTATGCCTAGAAATTTGAAAGACTGTTAACTGGCCAACCAACTGGAAGAAATCCATATTGCACTCATTTCAATGAAAGACAGTTGAACAGAATGTAGAAATTATCAAACAATGTAATTAATATCACACAAAAGTAAAATTTTGCTGAAGGTAATTAAAAAACTATTGACAAAGAACTGCCAGAAATTCAAGCTGGATTCAGAAGAAGATGTGGAACACTGGACATCATTGGTGATGTCAGATAAATCTTGGCTAAAAACAAAGAATACTACCAGAAAGATGTTTATCTGTGTTTAAATCGACTATACAGTAATCAATAAACTATTAGATTATGTTAATAATATTAAATCACAGATAATATTACAAAAAATTGGAATTCCAAAACACTTAATTGTACTCATAAGGAATCTGTACATAGACCAAGAGGCAGTAAAACAAGGGAATACTGCATGGTTTAAAAACAGAAAAGGCATATATTAAGGTTTTATCTTTTCACCATACTTATTCAATATGCATGCTGAACAAATAGTCTGAGAAACTGGGTTATATGAAGAAGAATGTGACGTTAGTATTGGAGAAAGACTTGTTAACAACCTATGATATGTAGATGACACAACCTTGCTTGCTGAAAGCAAAAATGACTTTTGAAACACTTACTGATGAAGATCAAAGACTACATACAGCCTTCAATATTGATTATACCCCAACATGAAGAAAACAAAAATTCTGACAACTGGACCAATAAGCAACATCATAATAAACAGAGAAATGAATGAAGTTTTCAAGAATTTCATTTTACTTGGATTCACAATCGGCACCCATGGGTGAAACAATTAAGAAATCTAACACCACATTGCATTGGGCCAATCTGCTGCAAAAGACTTCTTTAAAGTGTTAAAAAGCAAAGATGCCACTTTGAGGACTAAGGGGTGCTTGACCCAAGCCATGGTATTTTTAATCACCTCATATGCATGCAAAAGCTGGACAATGACTAAGGAAGACCAAAGAAGAATTGATGTCTTTGAATTATGGTGTTCATGAAAAATACCGAGTATAGCATGGACTACTGGGAGAACAAACAAATCAGTCTTGGAAGATGTACAGCTAGAATCCTCCTTGGAAGGGAGGATGGTGAGACTTTGTCTCATGTGCTTTTGACGTGTTATCAGGAGAGATCAGTCCCTGGAGAACAACATCGTACTTGATAAAGGAGAGGGTCAGTGAAAAAGAGAAAGAGCCTCAAGGAGATGGATTGACACAGTAGCTTTAACAATGGGGTCAAATAGTGACGTTTTTGAGATTAGCACAGGACGGGGAAGTGGCTCATTCTGTTGTATGTGAGGTCCCTATGAGTTGTAACTGACTCAATGGCAGCTAACAATAAGAACAACAATCTTTATGGAAGCAGTTTTCCAGGTTTTTCTTCTGCAGTGCCACTGGATGAGTTCCAACAGCCAACATTTAGGTGAGCATTCAATTGTAAATTGCTTGCAATACTTAGGGGCCTAAGTATTTTCTGTTCTTCTTGTTGTTGTTATGTGCCATCCAGTTGGACTTGACTCATA